AAATCGCATTCTAATTTCTTCTTTAACAAAATGACCATGCAGATACGATTGTTTTTATTTTAAGATTTATTTATTTTTATTGGAAAAGCTGATATACAGAGAGGAGGAAAGACAGAGAGGAAGATCTTCTGTCCAATTGGTTCCCTCCCCAAGTGACCCCGATGGCTAGTACTGCGCCAATCTGAAGCCAGGAGCCAGGAGCTCTTCCAGGTCTCCCACGTGGGTTCAGGATCCCAAGGCTTTGGGCCATCCTCGATTGCCTTCCCAGCTCAGAAGCCAGGAGCAAGATGGGAAGCTGGGCCGCAGGGTTTAGAACCGGTGCCCGATGGGATCCCAGCCCATGCAAGGTGAGGACTTTAACCACTATGCTATCGTGCTGGGCCCTGCAGATACGATTATTAATGTTTTTTCAAAAGGGGACAGAATGGTGGCACGGATGGTGAATCCTCTATTTGCAAAATCAGCATCCCACATGGGTACCAGTTGGTGTCCGGGACGATCCACTGCTGATCCAGCACCCTGCATATGAACTGAGGCAGTGGCTGAGGATGGCTCAAGTCCTTGTGCGCCTGCACTTGAGTATGGAGACCCAGAAAAAAGCCCGCGCTCCTGCCTCCAGATTGGCTCAGCTCTGGCTGTTGTGGCAATCTAGGGAGTGAACCAGCAGATGATCTCTCTTTCTCTCTTTTTCTCCATATATATGCATATATATATATATATATATACACACACACACATATACATATATATATAATTCCTTCCATAAATACACATTTCAAATAAAAATAATACAGACATCTTTTGAAAAACTGGTTTCAAATCATCTCAATATATTTAAGTATTTGAAAGTCAGAGAGAGACTGTCACAGTGGGATCTTCCATCTTCGCTCTCATTCCTTAAATTCTTGCAACACCCTGGACTGTGCCAGGCTAAGCCAGAAGCCAGGAGCTCCATCATCATCTCCGACATCGGAGGAACTCCAGTGCTTGGCAGCTATCCACAGCATGAACACAAAGCTGAATCAGAAGCAAATTGTCTAGGACATGAACCAGCTTATTCATGTGGAGTGTGGCCGTCCTAAATGGCCGCTTAACCTGCTATGCCACAATGTCTGCTCCACAAAAAATATATTTAAGTAACGAATTAGTTAGCTAACTATATATTAAATATCATATTTTATATGGAGATATTGGTTACTCACTTACCTTAACTTTCAAACATGTTTTTCACCCTTTACTCAGTAAAGTGTTATAAGTATATTGAAAATCATCAAAGGGAGTGGACCTTGTGATGGGTTGTGTCTAGCCACTGCTTGGGATGCATGTATTTTGGAAGAGCCTAGTTTGAGTACATTTATTCTTTGTTTCTAATTCAGATTTCTGCTAATGCCCTAAAGAAGCACAAGATGAAGGCCTCTGTTTGTTGGATCCACGCCATCCAAATGAAAGACCAGAACAGAGTCTCTTTCTCTTTGGTTGCTTCTAGTCCAGCCTTGGCTGCAGTAGGCTTTGGGCGAATCAACCAACATAAGGAAATTATCTCTCTGTCTCTCTCCTTTGCTCCACCACTGTTTTTTTCACACAAATAAATAACAAATAACTTGGAAAAATGATTAAAGGTTCTTGTGTGTGTAGAGAATGTTTGAAAGTCTAGTGTAGAATTTATTAAAAAAAAATTGGAACACCTACTTTTTGACTAATAAGTTATCTGAAGCTTTCACAGAATTCCTTGAGACTATAAAAAGAATAAGAGTAGAGAATGAATTAATGAGTAGACAATTAATTAATGAGTAGACAATTAATTAATGAGATGCACATTTCCCAGACTCAAATAGAACAGTTTTTTTTTTCCAGTGGAATGTTTTAAATAGCTGAGATTCTCCTTTAAAAGCTTTGGAATCCATGTCCTGAAATATATAGAATGATGTCTCATGTACGGTAATGAAGCCAATTGTATCCCTGGTTACAGTGTCTGACAAAGTTGGATTCCGGAATTGGCCCTGTGTATTCTAACTGTAGAGACTGAGAACAGTTTTAGCAATTTTCGTTCCACTCATTGATAGAATAATAGAATAATATTGTACTATATATAGAATACAGAGTACAGTGAACTTCAGGTAAAGTTCAGATTTTATTATGAAGATGATCAGTCATTATCAGAACCATCATCATACTGCTACGCATTGCAAAATCACATTTCAGCAATGATGGACTATAAATAGGATAGGGATCCTATCAGATTCAAATGGCATAGTAAACTTATAATTGCCTGGTGATATTCCAGACATCCAAATGCTATGATGCAACACCTTACTCACTTGTTTTTGTTATTGGTGTTGTGTTACCTATTATTCTTATTTATTAAGAATATGACATATACATTAACACACAATAAATAATGCTTGATAGTGGAAGCATGGTTTTTGTTTATACATTGGAATCAATGTAAGTGAAATTGGAGGATTTTATGTGAAGTGAAATAATCTATGAACAGAGAGGCAAACGTTAAATGTTTTTACTCTTATCCAGAGGCTAGCATGCTGATCTTGTAGAAGTTGAACTCAGAACAGTATGCACCGCGGCCTAGGAAGGGGGCTGTGATAGAGGTTGGACAGTTACACCACAGGAATGACCTCTGGTGTTCTATAGTACAGTAGGATACCTTCATTTACAGCAATTTACACCATCTCAAAATAACCACAAGAAGGGATTTTTGAAGCCTCCTCGCACAATAAAATGCTAATTATCCTTATTTGCTAATTCTAATTATGTAATTTGCAATTATATTACTCCATAGGATTATCACACTTATACCCCAAATATGTACATTTCTAATATTTCAATTAAAACAAATATGTGTTATATCTTATCACATGTTGGCATGTATTTCTACTTATTAAAACATGTGCTTTTAAGCAGTGCAATGTATTACATTTGCAAGTTTCTCCTAAATTTTGTGTATACTATGGCTCTTGATGGCAAGAGGAGCCATGTCAAGTAACTGACCCAGGTCAACTAGATTTGTACAAGAACACTCCTTGTCTAAGACCGTGTTTGCTTGAATTAGATATCCTACTCTGGTTCCCCAGTACATTTGAAGGTAACATCACGCAGAAGCTCTTACTAAAACAATTACATAGCCTTCTAACAATGTTCAGTAAATCGAAAAGTTGTTTCCATTAGTACAATTAACAGAAATATGCAGCAATTTACAGGGTTTCTTAAATTATTTTGAGTGTGGAGACAGGTTGGCTGAAATAGGTTCAAAACGTGATGTAATTTTCACTGTTGCAAAAGAGAAATGATGTCAGACATTTTCAAATACATTCTAACACAACCGGCAAATAGACATTACATTTAATGTTCTTTGTATTGTGCTTATGGTAATTATATTAAAATTGATTTTCATGGCACAACATAATGGTTCAGTTGGCTAAATATTCCCTTGCAAATGCCAGAATCCAAAATGTGTGCAGTTCATGTTGCTACTGCTCTACTTCCCACCCAGCTCCCTGCTTGTGGCCTGGGAAATCAGTGGAGGATGGGCCAAGTCCTTTGGGCCGTGTATCCACATGAGAGACCTAGAAGAAGCTACTGACTCTTGGCACCTGATTTCAGATCGACTCAGTGGCCACTTGGAAAAGGCGCCAGCAGATGGAAGATCTTTCTCTCCGACTCTTCTCTCCATAGATTTGCCTTTCCAATAAAATCTATGTAATTACATAAAATGTATATGATAGATAGATAGATAGATAGATAGATAGATAGATAGATAGATAGCCAGACACAGTAGCCTAGCGGCTAAAGTCCTCACCTTGCATGTGCTGGGATCCCATATGGGCACTGGTTCTAATCCTGGAAGCCCCACTGCCCATCCAGCTCCCTAGAAGGCAGTAGACAACGGTTCAAAGCCTTGGGACATTGCACCTGCGTGGGAGACATGGACAAATCTGGTGGCTCCTGGCTTCAGATTGGCTCATCTCTGGCCATTGAGACCATTTGGGAAGTGAATCATTGGATGGAAGATCTTCCTCTCTGCCTCTCCTCCTCTCTGTATATCTGCCTTTCTGATAAAAATAAATAAATCTTTAAATAAATATTTTAAAAGTTTAAAATTAATTTTCAGAATATACTTTGTTACAACTGTATCATCTTTATATCTAGAATGTTTTCATTAATAACGACTTAGCTTTTAGTCATTGTTCAGTGATTTCATTTTTAAAGTACACTGTAATATTATATAGTATTTTTGATTAGAATACTCTGTATGCTAACCTACAAGCATACGACTACAAATCCTAAATTCTGACAAAGCTCCTACACTTATATAATCACATCCAGTTCAAGAAAGAGAACGCTCAAATCACAAGCCCATTTTGCCTGCAGTTATCACTCCGCTTTGCCAAATTGTCAGTATTCTGAAATTGCTATAGCAACATCCACTTTTTTTGGTTCAAGTTTACAGGGAATAATTTATTTCAATATTTAATTTATATCTATATGCACTTTTGTATTTAAAACACCTCTTAGTGCTTGTTTGTTGTCAATAAGTGACTTTATAAATTTATGCTAGAATTAATAACTTAAGACTGGCTGTGCAGTGGTATCACTTTTCATCCGTTTTTTGAGCTACTCTATATAAGAGTAATGCACTCCATTTGTGATATTCTTTTCTAGATTATTTGCTTAATACAAAATATTCATTGTATATCTTTCATAGTGTTTATTTGAGAATAACAGAGACCAGCAGAAAAATAGGTCAAAATGAAATATCCATCCCCGTTGTACCTTCCAAGTGCCACAACAGCAGGTGATGCATTACTCTGTTATTTGACAGGCACTGAATCTGAGTTTCCTACTTTGGTGGCATGTACCCAACTAATAAGTGTCACCCTTTACTGAATCTCAGAATACATATTAACTGCAAGTGCAAATTGGAAAATGGGGTGAGTGAGGACTTAGTCATTGGCACTTCAATCTGTCATGCACATTCCAAACAGCTTTTAAAAAATTTTTTTTTAATTGCCAATGCCAACTATATTTTAAGTCGTCATGGTGGGGTGTTGGGAAAAGCTTACAGTTGGCAATAATCACACCTCTGATAAACTTCATTGGCTATGATACTGCCACTGCAAAAAGCTCCAAACAGCTTTTTAATTGCTGCTGCAGCAAATGCCTAGTTCATCCAGTAGAAAATCAAATCAATTTTAATGGCTAACAGTCAATATTGGTCAATTCCTGCTATTGATTGTTAGCTATTTCCTAATCAGTAATCTCTCCCAGATTCAATTCTTCATGCACCCTCCAAGAAATTTATGAGTCGCCTAAGTCATATGCTTGAATAGCAAATTCAGTTTGTGAATCACCACGAATTCAATCTAGATTTTAATATGAGAAAATGAAACCATTTAAAATTTTAAGTAATGAAGCTTGTTCCAAAAACTGATGATGCAATTATGCGTTGAGAAGGCAATCCTGAATCTTGTCCTCAGGCAGCAGCTGAACAGGGACAGTCATCCACAAATGTACTGCACTTCAGGCTTTCAGTGGTAATTTACGGACAGCGACACTAATACGAACGCTCCAACTTTCAGCCTGTGGTGGAGATATTAATTGACCACATAAGAACATTAAGTTATTAAAATAGTGTCTTTTATTTTGAGCGTTGAAACCCTCCAGATAGAACTTCAAATGCTGTTGACAAAGTGCTTAGTAATACAAGCCCAAAGTGATTTTTCACTCAAGATTTACTTCAGAAAAAAAAAAAAAAAACGTGTTCCATTAGACTCTAAAATGAGAATAAAATTTGAAGAGCAAACCTTTAGTGTTGTTCTACTCAAACTTTCTTCTACATTTAGTTTCATTCCCTCATACCCCTGTTGCTTATTGCCGCTAATCATTTAATGAATATTTCATCTTTATTGAGAAGAAATAATGATCATAGTAGATGAGAATGGACCAGATCATTCACTCAATTAATTCAACAATTTCTAAACATATTTTTATAATGTAATATTTATAAACTTAATTTTTGTCAGAAAGATTCACATTTATTTTATATCTGTCTAAAACACTGCAGAAGACAGAAAATAAAGCATGAGAAACTGTAATACATATGATTCCTTTTTGCTTGCACAAAGTAAATAGGAATGGTTTTTAACACGCTTGCATATTTTGTAACTCCAAAAAAAATCATGAAATTATTCTTCTGTTAGCATAATCCACAAAATAGAAGTTACCATCGTTAAATAATATCAAGAAATTTCACTTAGCTGTGGTATCAGAATCTCAAATTCCAAAAACTTCATTTCTCTCGCTAACAAAAGTAGAGAAATTTATGTCTTAACCTAACTCATCTGATTTTAACTGCTTTCCTATGAAAGCACAGCATGCAATAGAGCTTTGAATTCTATACTTTTAAATTAACATTTATGCCATTAAATATGAAATCATTAAACTTCCTGCTCGATTTTTACTTATCTTCTCTGTTTTTACATGTAATTTACAAAGTAGATACCAACAAATATTGTGAAAACCCTTCAGTGAAAGTGTCAAACATTCTATTAGCCTGAATATTCCGTAATAGAGTTTTATCCAGGACTAAGTTATTTTTCATATATTCAACTGTCCATGAACCTGTACATAGCCACATCATCATGTGAGTGTACATTTTTTTCAACAACTTTAGAAACTCCCCACCAATGTGTTCAAAAAATATGATCTAACAATTCTATCTCTGGTCTGAAGGTCACAGAGATTAATTCAAGAATACGTAAATAAGTGATAGAATCTATAACATTCCTACCAGTTCCAAGTAGCAAGTTTCTAATAAGTACTTTAAAATCAGAATTAAAAAATGTAATATTTTCACTTGTTAAATAAGGGATAATGACCTTCCATTCAAATACAAGCATAATTCAAAAATGTAAAATCGAATGGAAAGGTCATCTTTGAAAGAACTGATACTGTGGACTTCCACTGAAGAAGGGTTTGGTAACTTGCGACACATTTCATTGATCCTAATTTGTACATGAGCAATTTTAGTACTGTAGAATTTATTATTTCAGATGACATGTGTGATATGGAACACATTGATTTATAGAGTAGATAATTATCTCCCAACACAAAAGAAAAAAATCTAAACTAAGAATACTACATATTCATTCAGCCCAGCGTGATAGCCTAGCAGCTAAAATCCTTGCCTTGAATGAGCTGGGATCCTATATCGGCACCGGTTCTAATCCTGGCAACCCTGTTTCCCATTTAGCTCCCTGCTTGTGGCCTGGGACAGCAGTGGAGGATGGCCCAAAGCCTTGGGACGCTGCACCCGTGTGGGATACCTGGAAGAAGTTCCTGGATCCTGACTTCGGATTGGCTCAGCTCCAGCCGTTGCGGCTGCTTTGAAAGTGAATCATCAGATGAAAGATCTTCCTCTCTGCCTCTCCTCCTTTTTGTATATTTGCTTTTTCAGTAAAAATAAATAAATCTTTACAAAAATAAGGAATACTATATATTCATTTGAAGAGCAGACCAACAGAGAGAGAAGAGACAGAGGTTTCATATTCTCTAGTTCACTCCCTAACAGTCAGATCTGGGTCAACCTGATTTCATTCCCACCTGTAAATGGTCCAGAGTCTAACTACCAGATTATTCTCTGCTACCCTCCCGGTTCTTCAACAGATTTGCATTGGAAGCAGTTTTGTTGAGATGTGAGCCAGCACCGTCATAAGGAATGCTAGCATCTCCAAGTGATGCCTTAACCTAGAGTACAACATACCCACCATAAAAATCCAATTTCTATAAAATTGTATAATGAATTATGACAATTAATTTTACTAATACAATTTATACTTTCTGAAAGACCTAAAGAACTTGAATTATGGGTTACAACGGAATGTATTAAAGATACTTTGAAAAGAAGTAACTAAGTTAGTCACATGATATTTGAAGTTATAATCCATGGTTAATCAATTGGATATTGAGATCGGCTGCTAAAATCCATAGAAATACATCTGTATGTTGGTCCAACACACAATCTGAACATTCTGTCAGGTTTAGCTCTCAAAAATTGAGCATGCTTCTATATCTTATATGAAATATGCCTTCCGCTGTAGAAATGTTAGGTTAAGGTGACAAAGTTATGTTGACATGGTTTTAACTGTAACGACTTGCAAGTTTAATAAACTTTAGGCACATGTACTTTTAAAAATACTTCATTTGAAATATTAACTGCTATTACTAAATTTGTAGTATTATTTTTTCTTTCTGCATATTTTCTGTTACTGTCAAATACAGGATTATTTTACCTTCGATAATAAGAAATAAAACCAAAAACGCATCAAGATATGATGTGAGAAAATCCTGGAACACTGGAGTGGCAGTGTTAGGATGCATAGAATAGGAAATCTACAGCACTTCTATTTGCTAGTGTTCTGCTCCGCATAATTTACAAGGGCTTAGTACAGATAAAATATTGGGGGTGTTACTTTTATTGATTTTTTCCCTTCATAATACTCACCTATACAGCTTATTTAAAAGAAAAACAACTAAGCATTCAGAAGGGCAAATGAGAAGTCACAGATCTAGCACACTCATCGACTTGAAGGCATGCCGTTAGCACAGGTGTAGCTTTTTAATGCGGTCCCAGGCAAGGGGGTGATTTCAGGCACGCGTTATCAGTTGGGAGAGGAGGAAGCATATGCACAACCGTTGACACCAGCAAGCAGCCTTGGGCTAGCAAAGAAGGAACGTCGTTATGGACCTGTGCTTTAAGTAAAAAGTTGTACTGGATGTTTTTTAATCTTAGGCTTAAAATACACATGGTGATTTTTTTTTTAAAAAAAAGGCTGACATTTACAAACAAAAATAGATGTTAGGAAGCTGTTATTTTTATATTATCCCTTACATAAAATAACAGATAATTAACACTCCCTACACACAATTCTTCCTGAATTCAAATTGTGTTTAGTTTCAGCCAGCTAATGAGTTCATTTCTGGGCATATTTAAATATAATAAATAAGAAAATGAGAATTGGTACTGAACATAGTGGATATTTACTTCCTCCAGATGACTCTGTAAGTATGAAGTTCATGAACAGTATTGTTCTGTGGTTTTTCTTAGGATATATGTTCTTTAAAAATGCATTGTTAATGATTATCTATGTATATGTGTGTATATGTGTGCGTGTTTCAGTAGAAGCTGCAAGCTGCTTAAATTTCTTAAAAACAAGTGTTGCAACCCATGCTATTTGCCATCTAGTAGGCTTGTCTAAAACGTTCCTTTGCATTTTGAGATGAGGTATAAAATGAAAAAATCTTCACATTGCTCACCAAAGAAGTAGTGTTGATATGTTTTCCTGAAATGTAGCTCCATTTTAAAAAACTTATGTTTTTATTATTATATACAATATGTTCTATTTCAATTCAGAAATATAAAAAGGGAGCAATTTTTAAGGTATAAAATATAAATGGGTTAACAACTGAACTACAAGTTTATTTCTTTTTGTCAAAATCAATCCTATGTGTGCCTACTTAAATTGGCATATGCTATTTTTAAAAACTATTGAATAACCAATTGGTAAAATTATGTCCTAGCTACAATTTGCCTTTGCAAAAGAAAAAAAAATCATGGTTAAAAAATTCATAGCAATGAAAAATAAGGCCAGTTTTTAAAGTTGTAATTTTGACAAGTTGTAGAATTATGAGAATTTCCTAATTATGTCTACAGAAATGTTAGATATTTTCCATGGGATTTCATATAAACAAAATGTTACAACAGATTTCCAATATTTTCTCAGACAGTATCAGACATACACCATGAAGCCTGATCTGTTTGAGCATGACCATCAGTGATGCCTGCTGGCAAATGGATACATTTAATATTATTATCAAACATAATCTGTATCACATACGTGATCCCTAGCATAGTACCACTAAAGACTTAACTAAGTACACAATAGTATCAAATCAAAATTATGGACTCATTATCATAGGTTATAGAATTAGCATTTTTAAAGATAAAAATAGCAACCTCCGAAGTTTTAGCCAAATGCATTTCAAGAAGATGTGAATGATGATACAGAATTGAGGCCTTTGGATTTTTTTCGGTCATGTATTCCTATGATTTAGGATAATGGTTCAT